TTAAAATTTAATTTGGATCGACCCTGCGGTTACAGATTTTTGCTTAATAATACTGATACATTGTATACAATAATTTCCAAATATATTAATATTTCTTTGAAGGGCTTCGTTATGAAAATAATTCAACCCTGGATCTTATATTTATAGGGTTAGACTAGTAACAAGTGTGGAAATTCCAGTCAGAAAAAGAAGAAAAATATTATGAAATAATTATACTTGCCGCTCAAAGTTATATATAGTCCAATCCCAAAATGAGTAAAAACTTTCGAGTATGATATGCCAATCGTTACCAAAAAAGTTTTTAATTGATAATAATAATAATAATAATAATAAAATATTTTCATTAATTTTGGCGTAAAACTATTAATAATAATCGCAATGAAAAAGTAAATCAAAAATGACTAATTCGAGGGAAAAAGCATTAAAAGAATAAAGATGTTGCCATTTTATACAACCAATGTATCATTCTAGGATATAACATTAAACCATTACACAATCCTTATCTAATTACGAATATAAATATTAAATTGTTCACGCGTTCACAGACTAATAACACCACACACCATCCCAACCAACTCTACAACATATCTTTTTTTGGTCCAATAATCCTTTGCATCATTTATAACTATGGAATAGCCATCCAAAGCGTAATTGTTATATAATTAACGTTTTTATAAAAGTACCTTCTATTTTTTTACAACAAAAAATAATTTAATTTAAATAAAAATGTTTTATTTATTCAAAAACTTCTTGGATTACTAACCAGAATATTAAGTGGAAGAGACTGGGATTTATATTAGCATTGATTTTTGTTTTTCCTAGTGGCTGATTTAAATTGTAATTTTTTTTAAAAATGAATGTTTTACCAAATGTAAAAAAGTTCTATAGTAACTTTTGAATTACTTCACTTTTTACTCAATTACTTTAAAGTCAAATGAATATATGTTGAAACTAGCACAAATTTAGTAATTTTACAAAGGCACAATGAAATTCAAGGGGTTTAGGTGGAAAATATAGAAGTAAAGATAGATTAATGGTAAGGTGTTTAGAGTTGTTGTTTTATCAAATTAACTTTAAAAAAATCTTTATATACAGCCTAAAATTCTTCCACAGATTTTCAACATTCTCGAGCAGCACAAATTGGATTAATTTATCGATTTTTTTTGATCTGTGTTATAGATAGATTTGGTTCTTGTATGTTTTATAATGAAAATCTGGTGGCAAAGGTGTAAATATTTATATAGTGGAGTTATTGAAATGAAATTGTAAAATATATTTGTTGTTTGATATTGTGAAATTTGCCTACCTTGTCTAATGCGAATCAAAAAAAGATTTTTCTTTGAATACAGCAGGGCTGGTCCCGTGACTCAAATTAGCACTGACCAACTAAGTATCTAGCCATATGTTAAGTCAAGGCAATTATTACTAAATTAGTATTTAACTTGAGGTTGTTAGCCGAAATGGGCAAGCAATTTCGGATTTATAATGTTCTTTATATCCATAATAATAAACATAAAAAAAAACTACCCAGAATTTCGGCTATTGAAATAAATAAAGTGTTCAAAATTATTTCAGATATAATTTCGGTCATTTATGGCAATTTCGGCCAACATCCTTAAATTTCAACCCCCCTTTACACTTCCAGCCTGTTTGTGAAATTTTGCCGGATTGTATAGTCTAATTGGACCCTGAATAGGATATGCATGCAATGTGACAATCATTTAGGTGACATAATAATCTTCCATGTGTAGTTGCATAAAATGTTATTTATACATCAATAGGACAAAACCGCCGTGTTTAATCTTAACAGACATAAAATAATAGTAATAGGTAAAATATTGTCCGGATTATCTATCGCGTCAAATTGCTCCTAATTTGACCAAATTTTGCGATAAGTTAAATTGTGGAGTCCAGGAGTGTATTAAAAAGAACAACAAGTAAAAACGGAGAAGAGAGTTGATTCAGTTTGCGATAATGGATCATGTTGTGCTTTATTATTTGTTAATAATAATAAGAAGAAAGAAACGGAAGAGGAAATAAGGCAAATAAATAAAGGAAGGGGAAGGAATAATTAATTAACCCGAGTAAAACTGCATTTAAGAAAATGCCACCTGATTAGAAGAAAAGAATGATAACAAGTTCGGTATGAGTTTAATAAATATAACGTACTTGTTTAACCAGTTACTAAAATTTTGATTCCTGAAAATTCCTTGACATAAATCATGTTCACTTGACTGGTTTTGTTGTGACCAAGCGAATTATTGAGTTACGGACGGGTTCATCCCTGTTTATAAAGTTGGTTGTGACACAAGTAAAATGGTAATAGAGGAATCATCATACATTGTACTGTATATTGTTAATATATATATATATATATATGATGGTTGATTTTTAGATTTAAATTTATTAGTGATGGATAATGATAGTAGTAATAATATGATTAGTGGAGAGAAGAAAAGAGGGAAAAGATAAGAAAGGAAGGTAGGTAATTCATTTAAACAATATTTGGCATTGCTTATATAATTTCAAAAAACTAATATTTATCAGCGGCGTATATGAAGTATATGGATGAAGAAATATTAACTATGACGAACAACTGACGAAAGCCGAATAAAGAAATGTTTATTTGAATGACAAAGGTCTTACGATCACAAAGCAAATCTAGTTAGTAATATTTAAACTTTTCTCATTTATTTCATTATTTAAGTAAAGGTAAATGTGTATGTGTGTATGAATGTATGAGTGTAAACATCTCAAATTAACAAACAAAAAAATTTTTTTTTCTTAAAACAAACAGTTATATTAATAGTATTATTTTATTTGTGATATATCACACACACTATTATTATGTTGTTATTATTATTATTATTATTATTATTATTATTATTATTATTATTTCTAGCCTATGTATGCCCTCGAAAATAATAATTTAGAATAATATTAATTAATTAAAATTAATTAATAATAATTTAATTAATAAATAAAATAATTAATTAATGTTGGTTTCGAAATATTTTTTTTTTTAGTTTTTAGTGGTTAATTGAATTGATTGATCACCATAACAATGGACGTCAATAATACATAATGGATGAGATGGTGTGATGGTAAAATGTGATGGATGATACTATTATAAATGTGATGGTGATGGATGATATTATAAATAATAACAACATACATATAATAAGTTTCCAATCAAATCAAATTATTCGATGTGTTATAAATATTGGTGCCAAAGTTAAATGCATAATTTTAAAAACATATTCCAACTAGTCAAATAAGTCAACGAAACTCCATCAATAAATTTTAAATTTAAAATTACTCCTAGAAAATAAATTAAAATAATTAAAAGAATGTGAGAAAATCGAAAAACAACAAACAAATAATCCCAACTAATCAGGATCAACATCAAAGCCTCCCTTGCTTCTATACTACTAATTACTAAAATGGTGTTAGTCAATATAAATAATCCTTTTAATTATGATCCTTTTTACAATACCTTTTTTTTTTATTCCCACAAAATCAAAAAAAATCAACTCCTCCAAAATCAAACAAACCAATTTTCATTTCTAATTTGGAAAAAAAACATTGCAATTATTTTTGTGATATATCAGCTGAATGGTGATAAAATCGTCAATATATGAATAATCACAAATTTGTTTTTTTAAATTCTGCTAACTAGTAGTGTTAAAAAGGTCTAATGGCACATTTTATTACAAACTTAGTTGCTTCTTAATAGCAATTACATTATTATTGATGGCAGCAGCAGTGATAATATTATTATTTATAAAGGATGGTAGTTCGAAATAAAGATAGCAGTAATAGAGTAGTAGTAAGTAGTAATATATTAGTAATAACAACAATAACAATGATATTAGTAAAGATGGTTGAAATTATAATAATGCAATGATAATAATGATAGTATATAAACTCTACCAACAAAATTAATGATAATTGTATATCACTCACTCTCACTGTTAATAATAGTGATAGTAGTAATAATAATAATAATAATAAAAATAAAGAAATCATAAAATTATATAGATAATTTTAACAACGATAAAGGACCACGAGGAGGAATAATTATAATTAATAATTGTAATAATTGTAAATTGAGAGAAATTGGCCTTCGTGAAAAGAACAATGTAACTCATGGTTTTTGATTTATCATGATGGGATATGTCAAATAATTCAAGTTCTTGGCTATATTTGTATTAGCATATGATTATTGAAGATCTGCAATTGTGCACTATGAAAAAATTCATCCATATTTTCAATTTTTGCTACCAACGTTATCAATAAACTTCGATTAATATTTTGTTAATCTCCTTAAAAATTTTTTTCCTCCTAAATATAAATATACAACACAACAACAATAAAAATCTACCAGGGTATAATATATATATATAAATACAATTCTTTTTTGAAAAAACTCGTATTTTTAATATCATCTTTTGTTGTTGATTTAAATTATTTTTTGAAAAAATAAAATTTTTATGAATTATTTTTTTTTTGTATCTTTAAAAAAATTTCCAATCAAATATTGAGTTCTTATAACAACTTGCAAATAAAAATTTTTTCTATTTTACTCTGTATTTTTACAAAATTTATATATTATTCACACATTCTTTTACTTTGATATTTCACGACAAATTTCTCCTCTCATTCTTTCTCATTCTCTCTCTATCACAAAATTAAAATTCTAGATTAATTCTTGGATTAACTTTTAAATCATCGACAAAATATAAAACTGTTCAAAATTTGATCAATTGTCAGATAATTAGACCAAACTAATTAAAGAATAGGGCCTATCACATACAACCATCATCATATATCGTCATCACCATCAAAATTTTTAAAAATAAAACTATTTTTCCTTGATCAAAATTTATTTATAAAAAAATATTAAATAAATAACTACGCCTACAAAATATTATTATTATATTAATTAAAAATAAAAAAAAATTTAAAATTTTCATCCTTATTTAAAAATTAAAGATGGTATGGGAAGTAAAGAAAATGATATTTAGAAGTAACGGCAATAATAATAATTATAATAATGATAATAATAATAGCAACAACAACAGCTTTAATGAAGATTTCGATACAAACAGCAACAACAACAATAGTAATAACATTCATAATGTTAATGATCAAGAATTCAACGATTATTTGAATCAAGAATCAATAAATTCAGATTTATCAAAACAACACGTAAAATCAATATCTATTGCTACCTCCGCCACAAATACTGCAACCAATACCGCCAATAATAGTTCTAGTACTATAACTGCCACCACTAATACAACAATTACCAGTAATAATAATTATTATGCGAATGCTAATAATATTAATGGTAACTTCGATTGTGATAACGCCGATAGAAGATTTTCAAAGAGAACAAACGAATTGGACATTTTACAGCAATTAAATGACGCGAGCGAATTACTTTATCTTCAACTGCCTGAAAATGTTAAGGCAATATTGGATAAACTTAAATTATTGCAACGAAATGAAAAATCTTATGTTTTCGATCAAAAATTAGAAAATGGTGAATGGCAGGTAAGCAATTTGCGTTATATTTAATCATATGATCACGTGATAGTATCACTTGCACATATTTATTTGTATACATTGTCTATCCACACTTTATTTTAGAATCAATTTATAACTTTGGAAGCTGCTTTACTTTCAATTTTAATATTAGCTCCACCCTTATTGCTTGTTAACCCACCCAAGTTTAACAGTGATGATTATTATTATTACGAGCAGGAGGTGGACGATGATAATAATAGTAGTCTTTATTACGATAACAATAATGATGATGATTATGGTGATGATGATAACCATAATCATCATAATAATAATAATCAAATATCGGAAGATAATGACACAACAAAAAGTTTTTCAAGACCTGCTTCAATTTTACAAAATGACGACAACATTAATAATACCAAAGAAGAACAAGATGACGATAATCAACATCTAAACCCAAACACTACAACTGATATTAGCAACTCTATGGATGAATATTCCAATAAGGGTACCAACAATAATGGTAGATCTAGATATGGCGGTGGTAGTCAATATGCAAAACGTCAAAGTCATTCGTCATCCAGAACTTCAAATTCATCATTTGCTTCAGCCCAATCAATAAATCCTACAAAAAGTTCTTCTCTAATAAAGCTTATAGATGCCTCGTCACTTTTAACAAATACAATTAGAACTTTATTATCAAAACATAGTCAAACTTTGATAAGTGCATTTGATGATTCGGAAACTTTGGATGCTTATAATGAGTTGAATGTCAAAGTTAATGAAGAATCTGATCATGTATTAAAACAAATTAGAATTATCACTGCTCAAGGAAAAGTGAATGAATTCATTGCCTATGGCCAGGTAAATAAATTAATTAATAAATTATAAATTATAAATTTTTTATTATAAAGGGTATTTAATTTAATTTTATTATTATTATTATTATTCAATTAACAATTCTTTTATTAATTAATTTAGATGGTTTATGAAGAGTTGATTTCTCATACAAGCCTTTTGGTTGAATCGTTAACTTCTTTTGTAAATTTTGTTCTGTTACATCTTCCAATTATATATGAAGAACGTAAGCAAGCTTATTATTTAATTTTTTTGATTTAGAAGAAAAAAAATTACATATCATTAATTATATTTATATGTATTAATATAGCAATAGAACTTAATATAAACAATATCGAGGAACAATCACCATCATCGTCCTTAATCGAAGGTAGTATCAGCGAAGATCATCCATTTAAAAAGTTAGTTTGAATTTACTTTTTTTATTATCTTTGCTTTGATTTACGCGAATTTTCACTCATCACACCCACGCCCTTTATCCTTTATTTTATTGTACTACTATGATTCTTATTCTTATTATCATAGGAAAAAGAATAGTTGTAAGTGTTCCTACAATTTATAATTAATAGTTTTATTATTCGATGTTCAAGTTCAAATGATTTAATCTTCTTACCAATATTCTAAATCTACATCTTCTTTTCCTTAGTTCGTAAGAAAGTTATGAATAGTCTATCATCATTAAAAAGACGTTCTACAATTCCGATAAAATCCGTGTTTACCACTTCAGATATAAAAAGATCATCATATAATTACGAAAATGGTGAAGAAAATAGTAGGAATTATAAAGGTGGTGATAGGAATGCAAGAAAAGATAACCAAAAATATGTCCGTAATAGTAGAAGTAATAGTACGGCAACTTCTATTTCCGAATTTGGACAATCATCGTTGCCACCTGTACACTCTTTCTCAAACAATATTCCAAAATCTGGTGGTTTTAGATCGGTAAAACTGACTTTTTTTTTGCTGTTAAATGTGTTTATTATTAACATATGTGAGCGTAAAAATATTCATTACTTTATTTTTGTTTAATGATAATAGAGAGCTGGCAGTATAGGTTCAAGTAAATCTAACGCAACTTCTAATTTTTCAATTTCGTCTGCTGTTACAATGCCTGCTGCATTGTATTCAACTACAACAGCTAGATCAAAAAAACTTGTATTTACTGGAAATAATCATAGTCAGAATATTCTTCTTCATCGTTATCACAATCTTCATCATCACAACCCGATACCAAATCGTAAACCTCATTTACCAAAACTTAATAGCAACAACAACAATAACAACAATATTAATGATGATAATAATGATAGCAATAATATTGACACAGAACCAATTTCACCATTATCAGGCTCTTACGAATTATTTTCAACCAACACCAACATCAACAACGATCGTAATAATCATTTACATAATGCCTCTACTTTACCGCCACCATTAAAATTAGTAACTACAAACTTGCTTAATATACACGAAGATGAACCATCATTGTTATCGCCATCTTTATCAAATAATGTTAACGGTCATCTTAAACACCAAAATTCTTCAAAATTTAAAGAACATTTTTTGGAAGATACAGATTTACCCAGAATGCCTGTTAATTTATTATCAGGGATCATAGAAAAAGACGTTAACGCTTTAAATAGTTGGAAAAACAACAACAATAATAACAACAACAATGATGGCTATAATAATAAACTACAAATTCATAATCAAGACTTAGATCATAATCAAAATCTGCATCGTCAAAGATCTTCTTCAAGTAATCGTCTTATACCATCAGATGTTGATGCTACGATTAATACTGACAATATTCATGCTACTTCCATTACCACCACCACTAGCCTCTTAACACATTCATTGCCAATTACTGAACGACACCATCATCATCATCATCATCATCATTATCATCATAATTATAATAATCATAATCACAACTATAATCATAATCACCGTAATAGTTATTATAATAATCAGCATACATTCTACACGATTAATAATAGACCTTCTAAATCTTCATTGTCATTAACAAGTTCAAAAAAATATAGTAGAGAAAATTTAAATGTTTTAAGTAAAGATGAAAACCATTATAATCACTTCACTTCAAGCTCAAGAACTATTGCAGAAGCAAACGCGAATCCCAATACCACAGCCACCAATTACAATAGTAATAATAATATTACTATTAACAAAAAATCTTCGAGACAAAATACTTCAAACTACGCCAATAACACCAATAACAATTCATCACCAAGACCAAGACGTTCTTCACATAGTAATATAAAATCATATTTCATGAAACATATTTATTCATCCGGAATCTCTCCCTCATCTAATAATTCCTCTTCAAAAACATTAAAAACATCAAAATATGACTCATTAAATTATTGGCCTGTGACAGAAAATCCGATGGTATTCGATTCACCTTCTTCCCCATCTATACCAAATTTTAATATCAATAATAGTAGTGGTAATGGTAACAATAACAGTTCTTCAAGTAATAAGTTCCCGGGTCGTTCATTATTTAAAGGTTCTGTTTTAAATGGTGTTATAAGTGGTATTAGCGGTAACAATAATACTGGGAGTAATAGTGGTGGTAAAAATGCTAAAAATAAAAGATCTAAACTTAATAAAATGAATAGTGAATCAGATTTAAGAAATTTAGAAAGGCTTTTAACAGAAAAATATAATCGTAGTCAAAGTCATAATCATAACTATGACTATAACTATAACAATAATCATAATCATAATCACAATCACAATCATCGTAGTCATCACCATCAACAAGAACATCATAATCAACAAAATAATGGTAATAACAATGGTGGTAACAATGATAATGGTAGTAATAATAATGAAAAAGTTTGTAGTAGAAGCTGTTCAGTATATACAACAAATGCAGACACTGATAATCTTATTGGAAAAGATGATATTAATAATATCATCGTTGAAAACATTCATCATCATCATCATTTTAATAATAACAATAGTAGTGATATTAATGGTAGTAATGGTAACAATGGCAACAATGACAATGATAACGATAATGACGGTGCTAATAATAATCTTAGAGAACAATTGTTTCGTAAAATGGTTATAAAAAAAAGCTCAAATAGTAATATTAAAAAGAAACCAAGTATAAACACATTAATCAAATTTTCTAATGTATTTACACGTCCTAATGAGGTAATTAACTACTAATAAGATATTATTATTATTATTATTATTATTATTATCATTATAAATAATTTATTTATTATTTTTTTTTTATCTTTTTTTTATCTTTTTTTTTTTTTGATGTGGGAAACCGTAATAATAGGGAACATCTCCTTCAAATGTTAATAATGAGTATTGTAACAATCAAAATAGCTTAGATGAACCATCCAAGCCTTTGCCTGAATCATTAAAAACTAAAGAAATTTACGAATCGTCACAAGATGGATTGATTATTGAGTTGGTGGATGGAAGGTAAAAGCTATGAGATAATTGTTGTGATAAATTAACGAGTTGGCAAATATATCTTATTAAATATTTGCTTGTATGATAATTATGATTTTATATAGTCCTCGAGTTCTTGCAGGTACCCTTGAGAAAATGTTATTAAGATTGGCTGATGAATATGAACAAGGTATATTATATAATTACTAATATTATCATGGTTATGATTTTTAAAAATAACATCTTCCTCTTCTTCTTCTCTTTATAAATTTTAGATAACGAATTTATTGATTGTTTTGTTTTAAGCCATGTGTTTTTTATCACTTCAGAAGATTTTCTTGAGAGTATGATAGCTCGATTTATCACAGAAAATAAAAACCCATTAATTCAAAAAAAGTATGCGTTTTTCATTTTTCATTTTATCAAATAATTATATTTATTTATTTATCTATTCACCTATTTTATACTACTTTTAGAGTTTTGATTGTATTTGAACGATGGGTAGCAATACAACCACAGGATTTTCTTATTGACTATAAATTATACGAGCGATTAATGGATTTTTTAAAAGATAATGTGATGAAGACAATAACTACTACTTCAATTACTTCAACTACCACCACAACAAATAATATTAGTTGTGGATTTCATGAAGAATTTGAATATATTCAAAGTGCTTTAGAAATGGAAAAATCACGACAAGTTCAAAGAAATCTTTTTTCAAAACGTTATTCTAATCTATCAATGTCATCATCATTTAATCCACAATCATCATCTCCGATGCTACAGCAGCAGCAGCAGCAGCAATCAGAACCTTCTTCTTCTTTATCATCATCCTTATTATCAACGTCCTCATTATCAACGTCCTCATCATCAACATCATCAACGTCTACTACTACAATACCATCATTACCTTTAACAAAAAAATCATCAAATTGTTCAATTCCAATCCCACTGCAGATTCCAACATTGAATGATTCCTCACCATTATTAGAATTTGAACCTAAATCTATAGCAAAATATTTAACATTGATGGATTATTGTGCTTTGAAATCTATTACATTCTTTGATTTCATTACTATTTGGTGGAAAAAACGTCAAACGTTTGAAAGTGGCGGTAGTAGCAGCAATTCGTGTACTAGTGACAATTCGAGTGTTGATAACAATGGTGGTGTAAATTTAAAAACATATGAAAGTCAATTGGATGCTTTTACGAGAAGATCTAACATGGTAAAATAATAAGCTTTTTTTTTTTTGAAAAAGTTGATATTTATATATATATATTTTATAATTAATTATTAATTAATATTTAGTTAAGTCATTGGATAGCTCATGAAATTTGTAGCTTAAAATCTGTAAAAGCAAGAAAGTTACTTTTACATAAATTCATTGAAGCAGCAAGGGTTAGTATATATCATCATTATCTATTTTTATTTTAAAAAAACTTTTGTTAATTATATTCTGATTCGCCGATATAAACAAACAGTATTGTAGAGAATGGAGCAATTTTCATACAGCAATGTTTATAGCGCTAGCATTAAATTCACGACCAGTTCGCCGACTAGAGAAAACATGGGAATCATTGTCAAATCAGGATATTTTGAATTTACAAAATATCGAAGAATTAATTGATACATCTGGAAATATGAAAAATTATCGAAAAGCTTTAACAAATGCCAACAATAATAGGTCTCCTGTTGTGCCATTTTTCGCCACATTTTTAAAAGATTTAACATTTATTATGGAAGGTAATCCCACCTATTTACCACTTGGTCATCAACGAGAAGTAAAATTACGAAATCCATCAAATTTATCAACGTCAACGAAAGAGCATCAATCAGAAACCCAAGAACTCAAGTTATCTTCTTCAAATACGTCATTAAATACCGTATCATCATCAACAACAACACAGTTAATAAATTTTGAAAAATTTAGATTACTGGTAAAGAATGTTTATAAAATAATAAATTCTACATTGGAAATTTATTCTTTTTCAAATCAATTATCACGTTTACCACAATTTATCACGAACTGCAACTGTAACAACAATAATACTACAATATCTCACAATCACCACCATCATCATCATAATCGTTCAAATAGTAATAGTAGTAATAGTAATGTGGTTGCACCGTTAGATCATATAGGTGAAGTGATAGAAAGGCGTATGTATGCTGTTGCTGGTTCAATATTTAGTGGTAATTTGGCCTCTATTGCGTTATCGGATGGCGCAGAATTAGAAGCAGAGTTAATGGCATTATCCTTAAAAGCTGAACCTAGTAATAATCACAATAATAATAATAGCATATGATATTATATATATATGTGATTATAGAGATGAATGGACCATTGATCAATTTTTATTTATTATTTTTGTATTTTATTTGTATTTTAGTTTGTTAATGGGTTTTAGATGTAATAGAAATATACAACTATAATACTATTATTCTTTTGTAATATATTTAATGAAATTAAAAAAAAAATTTTCTTTTTTAATTTAATCAATCTACCACGATGTTTTTTGTTTACTTATTTGTTTATACGAAAAAAAATGACCCACGAGGTAAATAATAATAAATAAAGGAGGTAAGGAGGAGAAATGTTGACTCATTGGTATGAAACTTTCAGTCAAATTAACAATAACATTAAATCAGAAAATTCCAGCTAATGAGCCATACTTCTTTTATTAATCGAGGAAAATCTGTGTAGAAGTGAACAAAACAAGGAAATAATGTATATATATATATTATACTTTATCCACTTACAATAATCAGTTTCCAGAGTACAAAGAAGAAAAATAAAAATTATGTAGATTTATCTATATATATATATAATTTTTCTTTTGGGAAAATTATGGGTTCATCATTGTCATGACAATGTTTTGAGCTATCCTGATTTAACACAAGAAAGATCCTAATCTTGAAAATTATACTATGATTTTAGATTATGCTCAAAATAATTTACAAGAACATTTGAGCGTTAATGAATTAAAACCAGTGAAATTTTCAGAAGAAATAAACAATTATTTTCTAAATTATTACAATTATAATAATAATAATGAAAAAATTGATGACAATGAAAATCAACAATGGAATGATATATGTTCTGCTTTAGCTATACCACCTTGTATGACTTATCTTCGTGTAATAAATCAAAGTTCAATAGATAAAATACAAAAAATTATTCAAGATATAGTTGACGAGGTAAGGAAGAAATTACCTTACATGTAATTTTTAATAGTAGTAATAATAATATCTATTGTACATTTTCTAAAAAAAAATTAAAGCAATGTAAAAAAAAGAATTGGTCAAATATGAAAATCAAAAAACATTCAATTCTTCCTGATGTTTTATGTGTTCCAGTTAGAGGACCTTTTGATAATATCAAACCTTTTAAAAAAGAAGTTATTGTTGATGTTCATACTGGTGTTTCAATTCTTCGTGGTGCTGATGTTTTTGCAGTGAGTTTCATTTTATATGTGTGTGTAGTATGTATATATTTATGTATAATATTAATTAAAAAAAATTTATGTATAAGCCAGGAGTTTTAGCAGCTCAGAATGGTAAAGATGTTAATTTCAATCAATTAATAAAATTTTTAGCCAAATAAATTAATAACAAAAAAATTTAAACATTCAAAGTGGAAGCTAATGAAGATGTTGCTATAATGGTAAATAAATAATTTTATTTTTGGATGGAAAAAAGAATTATATTATTTTTATATAACATTATTTTATATAATTGTTGTTATAAGGTTGATTTAGATGGTAAATGTTTAAGGGGATATTTAAAAAATTTTACTGGTAGAAAATTATTTGTTGGAAATGGAAAGATGATTTTGGTTTGTCATTCATCCATCCATCCATCTGTACATTTATCTATATCATTAAAAATTTATTAATAAAAATTTAACATGTGTATAGAGTCGAGATCAAATATTTCAAACTGATCCATCATTGATATCAGGAATAGGTGTACTAATGACACAACCAATCTATCGTACACCATCATTATCAAATTTAAAATCCTTAATTTTTCTACAAAATCTACCAAGTATTTTAACTGGACATTTATTAAATTTAAAACCAAATCAACGTGTATTAGATATGTGTGCATCACCAGGTGGCAAAACAACTCATATAGCAAATCTTTTCTCCAACAACTATGGTAATAATGATAATCAAAAAGAAGAACAAAGGGATGCTTTAGTTATAGCAATTGATAGGTCAGAAAAAAAATTAGAAAAAATTAGAAAAAATTGTAAAGATTGTAAAGTCAAAGAAAATCTTGTAAAGTGTTTTTGCTTAGATGGCACAAAAGCAGTACTTTGTCAACAAAAAGATATTGATGAATTTAGTTTTGAAAAGTTGTTGATGACGGAGTTGAGTGGCAATGATGATAATAATAATAATAATAAGATTAAAGGATTCCCTCCAGAAAGTTTTGACCATATTTTGTTGGATCCTCCTTGTACTAATCTTGGTAAATATAAATATATATATATATATATACCTTTCTTTTTTTCAAATAATAACATTTATTATATATTTTGTATATAAATAGGACAAAGACCAAGTTTTTCTGTTAATCATATAAAATTATCAACTTTAGTAGATACACAACCTGCTTATCAAAAAAAATTATTTGAATCAGCTTTTTCACTCTTAAAACCTGGTGGAACATTAATATATTCAACTTGCACGGTATATATATGTGTGCGTTAATAAAAATAAAATTTTTTTATTTTAACATAAATATTTTTCATCTCTTGAACATAATAGATAAATCCATCCGAAAATGAAAAAATTGTATCATGGGCATTACAAACCTTTAAAGGAAATTTAATTTTATTAGAACCTGAAATAAAATTGGGTAAACCAGGCCTTTTGAATGCTGGTTTAAGTGATGAGCAAAGAATGATGGTACAAAGATTTGATCCTAGTGCAAGTATGAAGATGAATGAAGAAGATGATTGTAATGATATTGGTGGAAAAACTATTGGTTTTTTTATTGCTAAATTAAAGAAAATAAAATAAAATAACATATTTATTTCACATTAAAATTGAAATTAAAAATAAAAATATTCTCTTACATTTTTATTTGTTATTTTCATCTAGATTTTTTATTAATTTTTTCATGGTTTCAATTTCCGAAACAGTTGCAAAACCATGTGCAGACCATCTGATCTTACAATTTTTATCTACCAAAAAAATATATCCTCTTGATATATTATTTATCTCCAATGCTTCAAATAATGATTGATCATTACGGAAAACAAAAATATAATTATTCTTCAAAAATTTTTTTTTGGAAAAAATTAATTTGATTGATTTTTTCCTATAGTAATGATAATAAACATATTAATAAAATTAAGATACAGATACATACATGATGTGATTTTGGATATTGGCTGCGAATTGATGGAATAAATAATTTGAGAATCAATGATTTAAGAATATTTGTTTCAATGTTCATCTGTCCTTCATTATTTTATAAAATATATAAACCATTTGTTTAATAAAATAACTTTTTTTTTTTAAAAAGCAAAAATCTAATAAAAACAAAGATTTTTATTACCTCAATATACTGTATTTTGGAGTTATTTGAAAACGTTTCAAGGAATGGTTTAATGAAACTTTTTGATTGATCCTAAATCAAATAAACATATATAAATAAACATATATAAATAGACATATAAACATTTACATATTTAAATATGCATATCAGTCTGATTATTTGTGTGTGTACCTGTCCAAATCTATTAAAATACATGACAACCATAGAAATGTGACCTTTTAATAACTCTGTAGTGTTGACCTGTGAAGTTGACAATGATCTTGTTTTGATATTTGGCATATACAACGCATCCTTTTTTTAAAAATTAGGAAATCATTTAGGATTCTTGTATTAATTTATTATTCTATCATGTATAATTTACCTCTGATTTATTAATTTCTGTACTAGCTTCCCATAATTTAATACCTTCTGTTCTTAATTGATGGAAATCTTTAAAAAATGAAGTTTTATATTCTTTGATTCTACAAATTTATTTAAAAAATAAAATTAATCTCTCTAAAATAATAATTATTGTTGTTGTTGTTATTATTATCTATTAAGCATACAATTCATTTCTTTTTTCAAGATTTCCTTCTTTTGTAAATCTATATTTTAGTCCTTCCAGCAAAGTTTTTTTTTGAGTTTTTGTTTCTTCAAGCACCAAATTTGGTGGCTCTTTAACACCAATGATTTTTATTGGTGATCGTTTCAATGTTTTATTATTACTAGGATTATTATTTGTTGCTGTTGAAGTTGTTGTATTTGGATCATTATTGTTTTTTTCTTCAATAATTGATGACAATGATGATGATGATACTTTATTAAATTGCTTTATAGACGCAAAATATGTTAAATGATGTCTTGGATGATGATTGTGGCAAAGATAAGAAAATTTAAAAGGCTTTTCAATGTATAAGATGGTTTTAATTACGGACTTTATCATTTTCATCTATCAATTGGTAGGTAGGTTATACAAACATCATCATCATCATCATCGTGTTTGGTAATGATTAGTATAATTTTAGAAATGATTTACAAAGTATAAAATAAGGGATAATTTTTTTTATTGGAATATATATATATGTGAAAATTTTACTTAAAATTTCAGCTGAATAGGTATGTATATATCTTTTTTATTTTTATTTTAGCCATTTTTGAAGCCATGTGTGTTGGGCATTTGAGAAGTCCCATGTGTCAGTTTAGGATTTCTGTGTGTCAGAATTGATTGTAACCATGTGTCAGCATTTAATACACAAGTCTGTGTGTCATCAATATTTCTATACCATTGGACTATATTTTTGTTATTTTCATATATTTATCAGACACTTCTTGAGCTTGTATTTGGAATTTATTTGCTTATCTTGAAAAATTTGATTTTAATTTAGATGCACTATCATATATCTTCATGAGAGTGATTCTACCTGATTATTAAGAATAGATTAAGGATAGATTAATTATTTTGATTCATTGGATGGGAATTTGGTTTGATATATAGAAATACATCTATCATATTATATGAAGTCATATTCCTAAGTGGGTAAAAATTATAAATTTTCTTTTGTCATATGAAAAAATAGGGTAAAGAAAATGGATAATGTTTTCAAAATTTACTGTTAGGTTTTTCTACTACTCTATTATAATTATCCAGGATCCTGTATATGCATGTAGAAATAGGTTGGTCACTTGACCCAATCAGGTACTTTTTGACACAATTAATTGAGTCATGAAAAACATATAATTGGGTCAGACACAATTAAAAACTGAGATTTTATGAATCAAGTCAAAGCTAAATAATTTTGGCAATATGTATGGTCCTGTAGCAGGTCCCTAAATTATTATAATTGAGGTAACATCCAGGCTATTAGTAAATTCTAGAGAGCTTTACCCAAAAATTTTGAAATTGTTTGCCCTTTTAAGCATGCAACATTTTTTCCCCTTTACCCATTTTAGCATATAACATGGTCAAAAAGTAAAAGCTTCGCCCATATAAGACATGTAACTTCATATATAATCATTAAAAAAACAATTTTTTATTTTTAATATATTATCCAATGTTTTTTTATCTAAAGAATTAAAAAAAACCATATAATTGATGATGTTCTCCACTTATTTTTAATAAACCTATATCTAATATAATATTCTTAAAATAAAACATCATTTGAAGTAATGCATGAAAGAATATTAATTTTTCAAATCCCAAAGAAGAAAATAAACAAAGTTGTAATGGGAAAAAAAAACTAACAGAAATATAAGACAATATATCTATACAGTGTCTAAAATCTATGTGTGGAATGTGTGCTTTGAGCATAACAATTTATTTGTGCACAGTATAATTTTAGAGATGTGTACCATCCAACCTCAATTTTTTATAAATTTATGGCTTAATGTACAAGATTCAGTTGGATCAAATAAAATATTAAATTATATATATTAATGCCAGTTCACAAATCCTTATGTAAAAAATCATTACTTTTTTTTTCACATTATTTTTTTCTGATGAACTTTTTCAAATATAAGATATCTTTTTATTTGCTCCATTCACATTAAAGCTTTTGAAAGTATTCAAAAATGGATAAGTTTGTTATTTGTGAAAATAAAGAAAAAAGTAATGAAAGATCCAAACAGGCAGTAACTACACAAAAGCAAAAAAATAAGGAAATAACCGGACAAGAATTAAATAAAGTATGTGAAGATTTTGATCCAATTTGGTTACGAGTTTTACTCTTGGCTTGAAAAAAGTGAAGACAGTAATAGAATTTTTATTGTTTACGTGCATATAATGTTTTTATTAATTATGATTGTCCTAACCAAATTCTATAAGAAATAAAAATAATTTATATATATATATTTAATGGGAATTATGGTAACTAATTATCACCATAGAGACGATTTATTTTAACCTTTCATTATTATTTACGGGTTTTTGGTACGTTAAATAAAGTAATGGAATTAGCTGTTAAAGATATATATCTAAATCAAAAATACAGCAGTTTTAAGAAGGCATTCCAAAATAAATCATTTTCAAAAAAAAATTTTTTTAATCATAAAACTTTTTATGCAATTTCTTGTGCCTTAGATAATTAATGATAAATGGTTTGAAATGGCCATTTTTAAATGCAAGAAATTTTACTGTTATCAGCCCCGATGTATCTATACCACAAATTTAAACCAGTAATGTAATTCTAGTTTGTCCAGAATATATGTAATAGATAGATGTTCAACCAACCTGGAACTTCTCTCATATGGATAAAGTTCGGATAAATTGTTAAATAATTGCTGAATAATTATTAATAAAATGACAAAATTCGACTAAATTTAATAAATAATAAATTTTCAAGTGGTCTACTAAAGATGACTCCTCAAACTAATTGCAGCATATGAAATTTAATTGCATCTAATTGCGGTTCCCATCTTTAAATGTTACTAACATGATAAAATGGAATAATGTTATGTATATCACCCTTGTGATTTGACAGCTTTGATTTAATCACCAGTCCCATTTTCTGTTGAAGTTTTCCATATTTCTGAACAGAATTTGTAATTGACTAAAAAATTTTTTTAAAATTGAAAGCATAATAAATAGAAATCTTACTGCAGACTGGCTTGCATGTTCCCTTTCTAAAATATATAGAAAAAATTAAAATTAATGATTTAAAGCAATGAGTAATCACATAATAATATAAATAATATAATAACTAATTTGATTGTCACGTGACAATTCTAAGAAAAGTGATTAATAATTAATAGTATAATGTTATTGCAAGAATATATCAACTAGAACTTTTGATAATTAATAATAGATAAAATATGGTCATGTAACAATTCTTACTGATCGTACACCACCAGATCTAAGCAAAGTGATTAATGTTATTACAAGAATATATCATAATTAATAATAAATAAAATATGGCCACATAACAATTCTTTCTGATTTCGTTTAACCATTAATCTTTGGAAAAAGAAATCATGTAAATACCTTTTAATTTAATTATTTCATTCCTA